GCCGCCCGCGGGCGCCCCCCCCCCGGCAGTGAGGATGGCTGTGAGTATTTACACAACATGCCGTATTCTACGAATTTGTAAGAATTACGGCGAATTTATATGAGAAGTATGCGAATCGATGAGAAGAGACGAATCAATTTATTTTTAACGTCAGAGAAATGTGTCCGGTTCCTACGTAGCCTAATAAGCGTACACATCGATTCGCAATGAATTTGCAGAATGGGTTAGTCAATTCGTGGTTCCATTTTGAACCGCTGGATCAGTTCGTAATACGAATTCGCTAAACCGTATTTACGAATCAATCTAGTTCCAAAAACAGTGAGCACGAATTCGTAAACTAATTTTACGAATTATTTACGAGTTGATCAGCATCGTGTTTAATCTATTCTCTGTTTACGAATTTGCAAGAGGAATTCGTAAAAGTTTTTAAGAGTATCCGTACGAATTCGATACAGTTCGCATCAATTCGGTGCGAATTTGCAAAATAAGGGTAAAACGCGAATTGTTGCATCCTTTTTACGCTTAAAAATTGCGATTCGTCAACTCGTCTTTAGACACTATGTCCACACATCTCTGTAGATCAAGAATCCAAGCAAGGATACGTACCACAGCAATTCTACACGCCGGTAGCCTAAAACGCACCGCAAAATAACTTGAAAAAACATTACTCTAAGCAGAACTTTACATGCATGTAAAGTTGTAATTCTAGAATTCTAGATTCTAAGAATGCAACGGTCCAAGCTATATAAAGTTCAGAATATTTTCTGTTGTATTGTGTTGTATTTGTTTTGTGGAAAGTTTCGAACTTCTTTTTGAAAACATTTGTGAAATTCTAATTGTAATTCTAACGTACATCTTTAACTGTCCCCTTTTGATTGCCGAAAACCGCAGATTTCTATCTTTTACTGTCTTTGAGTTATTCAGAACATAACAGCCTGCCTTATATTTTGGTGTCGATAATAATGGCCCTCGCAGAAACCCAATACTCCGAAAAATCGGGTTACAATAACTACTTTCGGCTAAATTTTTCAAAAAGCGATTAAAAGGTTGAAAATCTCTATCGAACGAGCTGTGACTCCATCATTGCCCACAAATGGTTGATTTAGAAATAAGAGTGTAACCTACCAGATAGCATTAATCAGTACTAATTAATTATAAACTAATACGTTGAAAACATTTTTTCAATTTTCTCATGAAGCTATAACTATAACGATTATTGGCTGCCAAACTACGCTAAAACCACTTGTCTGCGACTATTTTTGACTGAGCTGTAAGCTTTTTAAAAATAGACCTAGCAATTAAATTTTTTGCTAAAATTTTATCTGAATTAATTTATAACCCCGTGAATACTTATCAGCTCTCCGAAAACAATTCAGGATATATGCAGTCAAGTGCTCTCTACAATTTGAAAAGGTTTAACAGGTCCTTTTGTGGGATCCGGCCTCAATTTGTGTGCAGTTTAAACTAAACCAGCTTAATACATATTTTCAGTCACAGTAAACTCTAGTCATACAATATCTTGGAAATATAATCACCATTTCAACATTCTTTACAACATTCAAAACAAGCGATTTCTCTCAGGGCGCAAAAAAACAGCAACAGTTCAGACTGGAAGAGAGAAAGGTAAACAGCACTTGACAGAAGAATATGATGTGCAATAATACTTTACGAATCCAAACAAGCACCGCCACCACTTAAACCTTTAGAAAAATTATCACGTTGTTCCATTCTTGGTTGTTGAACAATTGTATTTAATGGAATTTTTTGTTCAGCTGAAAAACAGCATACTGCACTATGATTCGTCATCTGTATCAACTTAAGTACGAATCTGGATAACAACAATTATCACGAAAAAAACTGAACACTTCTTGACTAATTGTTGAACTCACGACTGGAGTGGTTGTTGGTGATGAATAAACGCCACCATATTTGCTATAATTATCTTCAGAAACGGAATCAGAATAAAACAGGGAAGGTGAACACGCGAAATAGATTGTAAAGGATAAACATTTCTGCCAATAATAAATTTGTTGAACTAATGTCCTTCTCGTTACACTACTGAATGAATATTTTAGTATATTCAAAAATATAGAAAAGATCTACATTTGTTGTTAAACAAACATTTCTACAAAAAATCTACATTTTTCGATAATTAAATTTTAGTGAGTTATTAATAAATCTTCAGAAAGCTTCGTTTTATTTTCAAACTGTATCATATCCTATATTTGCTTGAGTTTTTGTATCTTATCCTATGTTTTTTTTTTGTTTCGTGTCGAATGGGTTTTCATTTTTTCTCTCTGATCGATTTTTGAAGAATGCCAAATACGAATATATTATAAGAAAACTTTAACTCTTGACTGATCTTTAAAAGTCTGTGTAGCATAGCATGTTCATAATAATTATACTATACGTTGTGTTATAGGCTCATCTTCGACGTTCCATACTAGAACAACAAGTGTACGTATTTACATTTCATCTGTCATCAGTTATCGAATAAATAGCTGATATAATGGATTGAAGAATAGTAATAAAGATTTGATTATAGTATCATAGTTGTATGAAAAAATAAAATATTGATACATGTTTCCTAGCATCCGCATGAAGAAAAAAATAAGGCACAAAAGAGACTCTCTTATTCAAACATTTAGTTATGTCGTACAGTATATTTGAGTGACATATTTATCTAATGTCAAAAGTTTATTAGAAATTGGACCAAGTATTGCTCACATATACTTTTGATGATTTCTGTGATGTGCTGTTTAAAAAGTAGAACATAAAAGATTATTCAAAAGTATTTGTCCATCAACGAAGCATATAGATATTCTATCATATAACGTTCAACATATATAAATAATTTTAGCAGTGAGTACTTTATTTCCTAACTCGATAAGAGTAGATGTAACATCGCAGCGAAACTCTAGTAGATGAGATGAAGCGAAGTAATGTAGGGGTGATACTAGGTAAACTAAACGAAGATTGATGGAGTTGTCTCGGAGAACAAAGAGTCCTCCCTTCACTGTACACTGACACCCGTTAAGCGTTTTTTTTACACCACTTGTGGTTCAATAGAAAAGAAAAATTTCAGATGTTTTCTAAAATAACGTTTTACAGAAAAATGATGAAGATGTTCTTTTCGTTAATTTCATTTGAGATACCTGAAATGTTTGAGAAAATCTGAAAACTGTTTTACTTTGGGCAAAAAACCTGAAATATCTGAAATTTCCAAAAGGTTTCATACTCAAGACGATTTTCTTCGATTTCTACTGAAATCAAAAACAATTCTATTATAAATATCTAAATTAAATATATCAGTATAAATTATATCATAATATACCTGCAGATCCTACTCTGTATATGACTAAAATATCTGACTGATACAAATACTACTGCAAACATAATTACTACAAATTTTTCTTAATTTTTTTACCGGCAACATCTTGTAACAAGTAGGCATGCAATAACGGTAATTTATCGGTTTACCGTTATCATTTTACCGCTTTACCATAGCATGCCTATCAACAATCATACTTTTCGTCTGAGTCCTTTTGACAGTGACTTCCTTACTAGTTTTCGTTCAGTTGATACGTCTGTAATTTGTTTTTGACTTGTTTCGATAATGGAATGAGCGACTTTCCTTCTGATAGAGCTGTTCTGGCATCAAATTTTGTAATTTAATTTGTTGTTTCAACAAACATGATTCTTCTTTATTCACCTTTTTTATTGTTAAATGTGCTTCATCGAGTTCATTATTAGTATTAGTGTCCGTAGCTGCTTTTTCTTGTTTTTCCTGTTCCAATTGCATTTTCGAAAGAGGATTGTTGCACCATTTTGAGCATTGATTTCGTTATTTTGATCTAATGCAGGAAAAAGTTAAAGATGTATATGCTATATTCGAATCTTGTACACAATAGTTAGACATTTACATTAGAAAATCCTGTATTGCGTGATATGCAACGCGTATATCCTTTAATGAGAAAACAAACAGCAACACTTGAGTACATAGCACATTTTGTACATGAATTGCCAGCTATTATGAATAACCCGGATATTGATGTTGTCAGAATCGAATAGAAGCGATATCAAATCGAACAAATTTTCTTAGGTATATCGAAAAAGAATGGACAGACATAGATGATCATTATCACACAAAATATCAATGTATTGATTTCTATTGGTTACCAATAAGCAGCATAAATTCACCATTAGAGCACCAAAATATCTGTTGTTAACTAAATAAGTCAGAAATCTATAGGCCTTTCCGCACGGCAGTGTTGCTGTCGAACGGAGTTTCTCGTTAAACAATTATTTACTAGAAGTCTTCAATTTACTAGAAGTTCAAATTTTAATTGAAAAGTCAATAGTTAGTTAGAGATCTATTAATTCTGGAATACTGTTTGAAGGAGACCAGCCCGAAGCGGTGAGTAGATGCTAGATTATGCACACAACTGAGACAAAAACGTTAACTATTTCTTGCATTAGGTCAGATTTACAAAATCAACGCTCAAAGTGGTACACGGCTTTCTGCCTTGCTTTCTGTTTGTATTCGCATAATTAGAAGTGTGTTATAATGTGTCTAAAATGATTCATTCTCAAAAGAGTACAGATTGAGGAAGATAAAATTCTTCTTGCTGTTAAGAGATGGGCAATAGTACATATGTTACTCATCCGACGTCTGTAGAAATAAAATCTAAATGTACATCATCATCGAAACGATCAAAATTTGAATGGGTAAAATTGATATCGACCATACTGGTCCCATTAATGATTACTGTGTCCACAATCGTAACAAGTGTACAACAATCACAAACAGATGGACAAAATTGTCGATAAGATATAAAAATAGCTTATGATCAATGACAGCACGATTTGTTCTTAACTGGTGAATCACGGAGAGAATACTTATTTGATAAATATCTGAGTGATTTATCGTATTATGTACGACTCGGCGAAAACCGTAGCAGCACAGATAAAATAACAATTCATTCCAAAATCTGGCTATATTTCGACGCATGGATTCACGTCGTAAAGGTGATCTAATACGAACATTACTCGAACAGAAATTAATCAATTGGCAATCTAAAGAACAGTTTGATATGTCTGACACTGATTTAAGTTATATTGAATTTGATCAGACACTAGATGGTCTTCGCTTAGAAAATGTTCGATTAGACAACCCTAAATTTGTTAATTTGCATTTAAGTAAATGTGTAACTTATTTAAAAATTCAATTTTAACGATATCAAATTTGACGAATTCAGTCATGACTGAGATAGATTTTACAAATAACAGAATTAGATCAAACTGATTTTACTCATATAACAATCACTCAAACAGATTTCACATCAGCGAACTTAAATCGCTCTAATATTTGAATAGATGATGAGGATAAAGCAACAAATATTTTTGATTTTATTATTATTACGGTATACTGAGGCATACCGTAGCAATTTTTCCGAAAAATCATATTTCTGTTATAACAAAAAAACATAGTTTCATAGGAAATGAAGTACGCTGATTATGTTACACCTATTTTGCATGTTCTTTGCTTCAGTTTTCTGTTTATGTATCCTTCATTATCATTTTCTATTTCTCGAAGACGACCTTTTCTGGACTTGTACGAATAAATGTTGTCAGTAGGATGAATAATTTCTTACCTTCCTCCTCATTTACTATACACCAATCATCGCTTTCGTCTTCGTCTTCCGAGGTTGAGTAACCGGATCCGTCTTTCGGTACTGTATCTTTGCCACGTTCTTACTTAACCACCACCGAAATATGTCAAGACAGTCCTCTCTTGCCAAAGAAATTTCCCCGTACACTAGCAAGCTCAGATACTCTTCAAACCCTTTTATGTCAGAATATTAGCCCAAAATCAAAATCATTTTATCACATGATTTGTAAAACAAGATGCACTTTTTGGTCTTTATACTAAGCTTTGAGTTCATCCTTGACACTATTAGATAGAACTGGTGTAGTAGTATACTTAGTAGTAGTATCACTGCATCGGTTATTTGCTTTTAGGTTCAATTCTTGATCAAGATATATAGTTTTCATTGGATCGATGTACATTCATTGTGATAACCGAGAAAAATATCAAAATTCAGCTTCCTTCTCCACTCAGTAATATTGAATCTGTGTATTGTAAAGTACTTAATCTGTAGCAGACATGTTCTTTCATCCGAAAAAACATGACAAAGAAAGAGAAACATACGATCAAGTTTAAAGAAGAGATAACACTTCAAATATTTTTCATTTTGTAACGAGTGAATGTCGTTGATTAAACAATGAGAAAATTTAATATATTAGGAGAAAATGGCAAAAAGTCTTTAAAGTCAGCTCTTAATACCAGCATTATTTTTACCAGGAGAAACTGTAAAATCAGAGCGATCTAGTCAAATCAGGAGATTCGTGTACCTGGTCACTCGATGAAAGAATTCGGACGAAAATTCTTCGTGTAAATCGATATTCAGAAAATTCCTTTTGTTCCGCAGAAATTTTGATTTTCCCGCATAAAAAAACCACCGGTTAAGTCATAGTTTGTTAGCAAAACAAAAATTCTACAGAAATTTTTCATTCGTGAATGTTTTAAACTCGGCGGGAATTTTTGCACAGAATTCTGCGGAAAAATTTTCAGGAGAAAAAGATTTTCACTGTTGTCTCGCTTTTCATCTCATCTGTTAGTTTATTGTATACTTGTATCGAATGGGATCCTGTCCCTATAAGTGCATCGCTACTATGCTGTTGCTCGCTCAAATTTTCACGGACACTGACCTGGCTTAGAATCAAAAGAATCACGAACAAATTTTAGTCAACATCAGCACTTATTCCCATATATTCTTTTGTGAATCAATATTGAAATATAGTCTCGTATGTAATTATGAAATCTGAGATTCTCATTTTCAGAAAAATACAAGTAGATCGAGGTGTTAAGAGGCTTTAGAACTGATAAAAGACGTTATATTAGTGCAACACTCTTTTTTCTCGCACACAAAACTAAAATGAATTCATCCACATCCAACACGTTGAATGCCATCACAATTATCACGCCCGAAATAAGTGAACGTATATTAATGACACTTATTATAGTTGGCATCATTAGTAATGTGTTGAATATTCTTGTATTTACGTACAGTAGATTATTGCGCCAATATTCATGTTCAAGGTATTTCTTGTATTCATCAATCGGCAACCTGTGCCTTATATGTTATAGCATTGGCATCAGATTACTGATTGAAGGATATGGCATTGATCCTACAGCTAATTCGATTTCATTTTGTAAAATTCATTCGTTTTTGGCCTATGTATTCGTCACGTTGCCACCATGGTGTACTGTTCTGGCTTGTATCGATCGATATTGTTCAAGTAGCAAGAGTGCCGACTATCGCCGATTCAGTTCCATTAGAACAACATATTATATCATACCCATCACTGTTGTTTCCTGTTGCGTAATGTATTCACATGTACCAGTGTATTTCGAATACATTAGAATACCGATAAATCCTACACTAAATATTAAATATTGTTATCAACGTCAGGGCTTCTATAGTCAGTTTCTCAACATATTCTTTCTTATTACATACTGTTTTATTGTCCCATTTTTGATGGTTCTCTTTGGTTGTCTGACGCTGGGTCATGTGCGGCGACAGCGACGCCAAATTCATACAACCATGGACATGATTCGTATGAAACAACGTGACAA